GGGACTCGAACCACGGTCGACTACGTGGGAGTCCAGCGACATAGCCATTACGCTAACTGCTATTCCCTATTTCTTTTTTTCCCTCCTTTTATATGCATGTATTTTTATTGTTATAAGTACTACAAGCTCTTGGTTAGAAATCTGAAAGCAAAACAAAACAAAATAGAATAAAAAATAAAATCCACTTATAATTTACTACCTAGAGTCTTTTTTTTTTCTTTTTATTTTGCTATAGGGTGCACATACTTGCTAAGGAGACACAGACAGGGAGAAAGAAAGAGAGAAAGTGAGAATTAACCCTCCAGGGGGTTGGCCACACCACCCTTCTTCATTCTCTAGGGATTTTGGACATGTACACACACATACACACACACACACACACACACACACACACACACACACACAGAGCTGATGTTTATTTCAAGTTGCCGGGACTGGGATTCAAACCATGCTATCCACCATGTGGGATCCATCCGCCTTAATCACTATGCCACCAGCTGACCCAGGAAGAACATTTCAATTGATGAATATACTGGAAGTCTTCCTTGTGTATGTATGTATGCACATGTACGCATAGATACACATGAATTGTATTCAGTTATGTTATAAATACATAATTACAATTTACATGCTTTTTGAATCTCATTTTTGGGTACTATCATGATCTGTATTATTATTTTTAGTTTGCTATAAGTTATGTGTGCTGCCTGGAGACAGAGGGAGAGGAGAGAGCACCTCCCATGAAGTATGGGCATGCTGCAATCCCCTCTTTTCTATCTCTCTCTCCCTTTGGGGTTAGGGCATGCATGCACACATGCCTTGTGTATTTCTCAAGCTGCCAGTCTTGGACTCAAACCGTGAGGTCGGCCATGTGGGATCTGGCTACCCTAATCTTTGCTGGTCCTAAAATTATACTTCTAGTAGAGATTGCTGTTTGTGTACTTGAGGTCTGTTTTCTCAAATAGTCTTAGTATAGTAATAAAATTTCTGATTCACAGCTGAGCACGTGGCTTCCTGGAAAAAGACTTTCTCAGCTTCCTTTGGAGCTAGACATGGCTGTATCACTGAATTTGGATAATGTAAATGAAATGTTGTGATGAAACTTCTGGGAAATCTCCTAAAAATAACAGCAAGTAAATGCTTCTTGCCCCTTCTTTTTTGATACTTGGCTTGCTTTTTGTTGGGTTCATTAGAATCACCTGGGAAGTTGTTGCATCTACAGATGGCTTCACCCTCTTTGTGGAGAGGCTTCATCTGGATTGGGATGAGGCCTGGGTACCTGACAATCTCCCTGCCTTTTATTTTTTTGGAGAGGTTTTTTCTATAGGGTGCATGCAC